TTGATTTCGATTCTTATTTTATATATCAAAAAATAAATGATAAAAAATTTGATTGCACACTAAAAAAAACTTTAATGACAAAAAAAATGCAAGATTCTCAAGGATCTTATCAAAATATAATTCTCAATACAATGGGTTCATCCAATTTAGAGCAGAAAAAACTGATAAATATCATCAAGTGTTTGGGGATACTTATCTGCTATTTCAATCAAATTCCAAAAAAAATTCTTATGAAAAACTTTTTCACTTAAAAAAAATTTTATTATCGAAATCCTATCACACACAAGCAGAGTGAGAGGCGTTAATTTTTTTTTCTGGACAACATTATTCTTCAAAAACAACAATGATATTTTTTTTACTGCTTAAATTAACGAAAAATCTTTATCAAAATGGTCGGTGTAAAGAAAAAGAAGAAAAATAATAAAAATCTCATCCAATAATTACATTTTTTTTCTATGGAATTGACTGACTGATTAAAGTTCTTCTCTAATCAATTCCATCAACATAGGTACATCAATGCCTTGAACCAAATAATAATAATTGTAACAAAATTTGAATTTTTTAAAAATTAAAAAGCTGTTTGCTTTATTTTTTAATTGTTTATATTGATATTAGATTGAAAAATTTATTGAATAAAAATCATTTGTTTTGTTTTGTTTTGTGAATTTAGTAGTTTACATTTTCTCTATATTGATAATAGAATCAATTTTGAGATTTGTAATATTGTTGAATATAATGTATTTTGATTTGTAATTTTTGTTATAAATTGCATTTTTTTCTGTTGAAGTTGTTGTTGGTACATAAGGTGTAGTTGTCCATGGTCTTTCTGTTGTGGTATAATTCCATCGTCTGGTTGTAGAATAGGTCCATGGTCTTTCTGTTGTGGTATAATCATCCCATCGTCCTTCTTTTGGTTTATTATCGGTTGAGTTGTTAGTCGAATTTGAAAGAATAATCGATTGTTTCACATTTAATTTGTCGGGAATTATATTCGAATTGATTGATTGTCCATTTAACATAACACATAAAAATAAGCCTAATAAGGCAAATGATGATCCAAACATTTTGAATTATTAGAACAATTTGAAAACCAGGTTTTTAAAAAATGAAAATGAAAACAAAATTATCATTTTTAATTGTTATTTATATACAATAACTAGGTTTAGGCCCAAAAACAACAAACAAACAATGTTTAATCCAATAATCTCTTCATATCAACAGTCATTGAAATGAAATGTCACCTGAACATTGAAAATATAATCTTTGTTATAATTCCATTTATAATTTTTTTTGTTGTAATTAATAAGATTAATCAATCAATATTTATTTTGGAACAAAAATAAATTATCTTTTTTTTAATAATAAAAACAAAAATTTAAATAAATATTCTTTTTTTTGTAACGATCATAGGATAATTCCTGATAAAAATGAAATACATAAATAATGGTAATAAATATAACCATTATTTCCATCAGGTTTTTCGGTCGGTTTAATGGTTGTTGTACTTGTTGAATTATTGGCTTTTAAAATTTCTCTCACTTTTCAATTCCATAATTAACGAAAATGAAAAATTCCAATGAAAAAACCTTTTCTTTTCATTTTTTATTGAGTTTAAACCAAACCAAAATTGGATTATTGAGTATACTAACGCCCATGGTCATCATCATTATCATTTTGAAACAAACAAAAAAACACCGAAAACATCGGGCAATAAAAACAATTTCCATTTGGAAATGTAAATACTTTTTGGGCTTATTTTTTTTATATTACCAATCATAAAATTCAACCTTTTAACAACCCAAAAAACCAAAAAAAAAACAATTTTCATTCAAATCCGGAATCAGTTAAAAAATAAGGTTGAAATCTTTCCATTACCATCCATTGTCATTATCATCGTCATAATCAAAGAATCATTACCATCATCATCATCAGTGTAATCTTGACATTTTTCCATTTGCTAATTAAAGGCGCCATATCAAAAGACACGGATGTTGTAATAAAAATGGTTTTCTTATTTTTTCAATACTCCAAATATGTCTCGCTCTCTCTGTGTAAACAACGTTTTTTAATGATGATTAAACATTATACGATTGATGAGTTGATACTTTATGGGATTGTTGTTATTGTTGTTGTTGTTTTTTTTTTGTAATTTTGGGCTCATTAATTTGATAATCGTATGGTTTTTTTCTCCTATTTTTCTCCTATGACACTTACACATTCATCATTTGGAACAGGAATTTTTTTTTCTATTGCGTCTGAAAAACATATTTATGTCAAGTTTTACAATCAATAGATGGCGGTATATGTTCATATTTATCCAATTTTTTTTTTTGAAAAAAACAAACAAACAGCAGCATAACAATAATGTCTATGGAGAAAAAAATTTTTGATGATAACAAATGATGATGATTAGACATGATACGATTGATGAGTTGATATTTTATGGTTGTTGTTGTTTTTGGGCTCATTAATTTTCATTCTGTTGATAATCGTTTGGTTGTTGTTGACGATTTTGCTGTTGTTTGTGGTATGGTTGGTGCGTTTATTGATTTTTGAAAATCGTAACCAAAAAAAAACCTGAGAATTCTTTGGGAAAAATTTTCCAATTGAAATTTCCAATCGAATCAAAATCAATCGATCAAAGAATGAAACCAATCGATTTATATGTTGCACCAATATCACCAACATCAAGAGCTGTTATAATAGCAGCACGTTATATGCAAATTAATATAAAATTAATTATTATCGATCTAATGAAAGGTGAACAAAAACAAGATTGGTTTGTTAAAATGAATCCACAACATTGTCTGCCAACAATCAATGATAATGGTTTTATTCTTTGGGAAAGGTAAGAAAACTTCGAAAAACAAACAACGAGTAAAACTCACTAACCAAAAAAAAAAATATTGTTTTCCATCCATCAAAATAGCCGTGCTATTATGACCTATATGGCCAATAAATATGCACCAAATAATCCAATATATCCGGTTGAACCGAAAAAACGTAGCCGTGTTGATTGCCTATTACAATACGACCTGAATGTTTTAAATCGTGCAATTACCGATCTGATGATACCATTGATCAATGATCATCACCATCATGACCATGATCATGATGATAGTAATCAAAAACGAAAAAATAATCAATCAACAAAATTTATGAATACAATTAAACAACGTAAAGTTAATAAATCATTAGAATATTTGGAATCAATTTTGATTGAATCAAATTTCCTTGTTGATAATCATCTAACATTAGCCGATTTTTCAATCTATTGTAGTTTAGAATTTGCTGAAAAATATCATTATAATTTTGATAAATATCCAAATCTACAACAATATTTTAAACGTTTAAAACAATTGCTTGGTTGTTTTGTTTATTTTCCAAATAATAATGATGATGATCAAATAACGATCGATAATGATCGAAATTGGATTAATGATCAGGATGATAAAAATTTTGAAAATCAGCAACAACAGCCATTGAATAGTAATAGTTTTCTTCTTTGTGACAATCAACAACAACAATCTTTTGTAACAACAACAACAAATTTCAATTATAATAATGGTCATTAATTAAAACATTTTTTTTAATTAAAGGTTTTTCATTCAGGTGTGATTTTCTTTGTTCAGGTGTCTTTGAGCAATTTTTTACAATGGAAAATTGAAATTATTGATGAAAACGAAATAAATTTAAACGAGCATTGAATAAATCTTTTGCAAATGTTGATTTCATTAAATTTTCTAAATAATTTTCTTGATTTTTCGCTTGATTATTAATCTGATTTGGATTCGAACGTAATTGTAAAAGAAAATCTCGATCATAGCGAATTATTTCTGCTGTTTTGGTTTTGGATGTTTTCAAATTATCACCACCACCAGCAGCTTGATCAATAATCATCATCGAATCATCATCATCATCCATGTCCAAACATCCTTCGAAATCAGTTACACGAAGAAAATTATCAATTTTTTTACCAATCTTTTGATCCGATACAGTTATGGTTATTGGTTTTTCAACATTTTTTGATTGAATATGAAATTTATATCCATCATCATCATTATTCATAACGGTAGTTTCATTTACCGGTGATGTTTTAATAGCTAATCAGGATTTTTAAGAAAAATTAGTAAAAAATTTTACAAATTTTGTTTTTTCAAACTTACATTGATCCAAAATTACTAACAAATCTTTGATCGATTGTGATAATGATGGTTGTTGTTCAACAGCAACAACATTCGATTTTTCCAAAACATTCGATTTGGTCATTTGAATTTCATCAAAATCGATAAGATTATCGATTTTTTTCGTATCACGATCCTGATTATTTTGATCCAAATTCGTATTCGTAATTTTTTCCACGGAAATTTCGTTCAATTCATCACCATTATTATCGATAATTTTATTAATTGCATCATCATGATTTTTCTTCGATTTCGAACATTGATGTTCAATGAATAATGATGATTTGGATAGATAATGTTTAAAATGAGCCAACCATTTATCATTATCATCAACAGTATCGATTGGTTCCATGATCAAAAAAAGAGAATCAACAAAATGATTGAAAATGATTATTTCGAAAACAAAACAAAATATTCGAATGAATGAATGATTCGACAGAAAAATTTCCTTTACACACGCTTATTTTACTGGCTATTTTTACATTGCACAATTTGTTTGGGTGTAAATAGGATCGAACGAATGAACTCATGGGTATTCACGTTCGAATTCTAAAAAAATATCCTCTTTTTTTCAGGTAAAAATTATTTTTCAAATTTTAAATTTTATTTTTTTGAATTTTCTTTAATAAAAATTTATTTCTTTTGATTATCATCCAATTCTTCCGCAACATTAATAACAACTAATGAACCATTTAATTGATGACGTGGACTTTTAAAACGATGTTTACTTAATTTATTTTTCATCAATGTTAATGATGATGATGATAAATTTGATGAATTTGATGAATTTGTCGATGATGATGAAGAATTTGTTTTCAATAAACTTGATGAATTTGCTTTCAAAAATGATATTGATTGTCGTAATTTGGCCAACGATATTATCGATGATGATGATTGTATTAAATTCGATGTTGTTGTTGTTGTTGTTGTTGTTGATGATTGTGCAATAATTTTTGAATGAATTTCAATCTCTTTACGTACTGATTGCATACTAATACCACGTAATTTACTTTGTGTACGTTTAACAATTAATTCATTATATTTGGATGGTGGTGATAATGGTGATCGTATTAACGATGATGATGATGGTTGTTCACAAAGTTTTTCAAGCGATTCATCAAGCGAACGATTCATTCGTCGTTGTAACCATAATTGATGTTTTAAATCATCTGAACTTTTTGGACTTGAAATCATATGATCATTATCATATAAATCTAATGCTGACATTGGTTTTATCTGAAATTTCCAACTATTTATCGGTATAATATCATTTGAACAATGACGTGTTATAAATGATGATAATGATTTTGATATATGATGTTGTTGTTGATGATTTGAATTGGAATTATTATTATTATCATGTCCATCATCATTATCATCATAATCATCATCATAATTATCATTATCATCATGTGGAATATTTTTCGATAATTTTGTTGTTTCATTAGCCATTATTTTTTTCAAGAAAAAAAAATTGATTACAAAAACTTGGTTGAAAACTTTTTTTTTTTGTTCTCACAAAATCATTTCACAACAGAATTTTTATATTGAAAAAATGAAAATTCATTTTTTTTTATTTCTAATTAAATAAAATTTGATTAATTATAAAGCAAAAAAAAATGGAGTTTTTTGTTTCTTGTTTTAGTTAATTAGTGTTGATGTTTTTTGTTTGTTTGATTATAATGAAATTATTTACAAAAAAAATTTTCTTGTCGAAATTTTATGATCGTCGTGCACGATCTTTATACAATAATGATGGTTTTACGGATGCGGATGCGGATGATGATGATGGTCGTTTAAATAATGATGAACCAGATCTACGGCTATAACTTTTACGCATCATTGATTTAACACCATTACCATTACCGCCACCATTACCACCAATGAATGATGATTTTATTGTTGAACGATTACTACCGGATGCATAAAGACCACCATTATTTCTTGATGAATCATCCATCATTAATGCATTTAAACTGGATGGACCATATGAACCTTCACCACCACCACCACCACCGGAAACAGTTATCCCACTACCGCCATTATTACCGCCATTACCACCGCTGCTACTACTACCACCTTCAGATCTTGCAACAACTGTACGTACTTCTTCAAGAACTGGGCGAATTTCTTGTAAAACACGACGATATGGTTGAATAATTTCACGTATTTCCTGTATAACTGGTCGCATAACTTGATGTTGTACACGATGTGGTTCATCTTCCGATTTAGTTGGTTCAACATGAATTGGTTGTGCTGGTGTATGTACTTGTTGTACCATAACTGGGCTTGATGATGAACGAAATACAACCTGTACTGGTTGTACACTAGCTTCAACATCAACAATATGTGGTTCAACCGGATCGGATTGAAACATTACTGGTTTAACTTCAACAGTACGTCTTGTTTGTACAGCTGCTGATACTTGTGCCGGACCAGATTGTTGATAACTTGGTGATGATTGCAGATAATCAGGCATCATTAATGATTGATCAGAATCTAATTGATTTGTCATCAATGATGATGATGAACCATCAATAGTGTTTGGACCACTTGCCGTTAACATTGCAACAGCTTCATTAATTGCATTCATATATGGTTTTGATTCTACTATGGCCAACATTGTGGCTATTAATGATAAAATCTATAAAAAATGAATGGAAAAAAATTGATTAACAAAACAAATTAACAAATTAAGAAATTTTTCACCAAATCATCACCAATCAATCACACATACTTTGAACATTAACATTTTGTCGTCAAAAATAATACTTTGGAACTCGGAACTCAAAATTCAAACAAAAATCTAAATACACCGAATAATGACACTTGAAATCGAAATAGACACACAGACACACAAAATCGAATGAATGACCAAACCAAAATCTAAAAAACTAAATCGCCAAAGCCTTTTTATACATGTCATTATCATCACTGAAAAATTTGTATGATACATTTTGCTTCAACTTATAGTTCAACTTTGAAAAAACATCTTTTCATTTAAGCTGAAAAAAAAGAGTCAAAGGTTCTCAATGGGAGAGAGAGAGGATTCAAGTAAAGTGTCAAGATCTGATCTGCGAAAAAGAAAAGAAAGAAAACATCATTGAAAAAAAGTAGGGAAAATGAAATGGTATTCAAAAAAAAACGAACGAAAATGAAAAGTTTCAGTAAACAAATTCAGGTTATTATTTAGTTTAAATCGTGAAAATTTTTGTAATTTTCAATTTCGTTTTTTGAAAAAAAACAAAGTGAGATATAAGGAGAGAGAGTGATCTAGATCTTCCCGAAAAAGAGAGAGAAATTTTCCCGAAAAGTAAAGGGAAAAGTTTGAAAACCACACACTTTTCCTAAAGGCAGGAAAGTTTTCGGTTTAATTTAGGAGGAGAAAAAAATTTTTCATTCCATAACCTCGGATTAAGTTAATTAATTCGGTGAATTTTCACTATCAAACAACAACAAGATGATGATTATGTAATGCATTTTCGATTTAAATAGGGTGATTGGTAACGAAAATAAAAGAAAAAGTTTATATTTAAATCAAATCATTGATCATCAGATTTGATACGGTAATCTAAGAGAAATATTTCTAGAAAGTGAAAATTTCGGGAAAATTTTTTTCTGATTATCTGTCTCTCGGTCAATGGTCCGAGGAGCATAAAAATTTATCTGATCGGTATAGGGGAAAAAAACTGAAATAGAAACAACGTTTTTACCTGAAACAAAAATCATTTGACGGCTCAGGTGATAATCCAGCTCGATAATTGCAAGTGATGCGGTGATCAAAAATAAATTGTTGATTTATTTGAATCCAGGTTAATTTAGTTTGCGGGTAAAGTTTATGGAAAAATTATTTTTGGAAATTATTTTTTTTTTAATATCGATATTTCATCATCATATCAAATCTAATTTGAAAATTGAAATGAACTGAATGTCATCATCATTTTTTCTGATGTTTTTATATTTAGCATCTGGATGATAATTAGTAACAGGTAAGAAAGAAAGTTTTTAGAAAAGAAAGTTTTCGTTTTTTTTTTCTTCTGAGAAATTTTCTCGTCAATCTACTTTTCCTTTTTTTTTACCGAGTAAACTTTCTTTTATCAACAAAAACTTTTTTAACCCGCTCAGATATTATTTCCATTGATCTTGATTATTTGATGATAATCTTTATTTCAAAAAAAACAATTTTGTTTATCTTTGCACTTATCATCAGCATCATAATCCGAATGTCGTGAAATTGAATTTTGTTGTTTTTTTTTTGAAAAATAAAATCAAGATTTTCGTTTAAAAGTGATGGCACGCGGTCGGGTCACATGATTCGAATGACAACAATGAAAAACTTTTGACTTTTGACCAGATAAATCCGAACACCGTGGAAAATTGTTGATGGAAAAAAATGAACTTTGATTAATCAATTAAGTTTTTTATTAATTAAAATCAAAAATCAAGAAAATCAAAAAATCAAAAAATCAAAAAATCAAAAATCCGAATTGAGAAAAACATCCGATCGGATAAATTTTCGAACGCAAATGAAAAAACATTCGAAAACATTGTTTTTGAACAGGACCATTCGAATTCGAACGATTTTTTTCCCGTTCGAATTCGAATGATAACAAACATTCGAATTTTTTTTTTTGTGAAATAAGATTTATATTTTGAATTTTGGACGGAAAAAATAATTAAAATTTCTTTCCAAAGCATTTTTTCTTTCACTATAACGTGATTTTTATCGTCCAGTTTTGTTTTTTATCAAATTTGACCAACAAAAATAAAAAACAGCGTAATTTAGTTAATTGATTGGTGTGTTTGCAATCAATAACGATTTTTTTCTTGTTCAACTTGTTGATCAAAATTGATTTTCGAGAAGTGTGTGTTGTGTCTGTCTGTGTAAATGAAAACAACAAAAATTCGGTCACCGAACTTTCGTTTAATGATGATAAAACATCGACAACAACAACAAAACTTTGAAACAACATGGAATTTAGCCAACGGGTGAAAATTTTATCATTCCATAAATGAATTTGAGAATGAAAAGTGTTGAAAATCAATTCAAATCAAATTGAATTAATTTTTTTTTCATTTTCAATCAACAAAAAAGTGTCAACAACCACCATCAATGTTCAATGATCATCATTTAAAATGAAATTTTAGTCAACAACTTCCCCATTTTGACGAGAAAAGTGAAAAAAATTGAAACAAAAAATTCAATTCAAGTCAAGTGTTTTTTCAACAACAAATTCAATTTTAAGTTTCAATTTTGTTTCAAATTTTTTAAAACAAAATCAAGTGATGCTACAATTTTTCTTCATTTGCAGAGTTGTTTTTTTGATTTCAATTTCGGTTATTATTATTCGCCTCCGGATTTCTTCTTTTTTTCGTTCATTTTGGATAAAAATAAATAAAATGTGTCCAAAAAAGAAAACCAATTCGAAATATTGATTGAAAATGAAAAATGATCGAATCGTGTTTTTATCGTTTCAAATTCAATGATAATATTGCCTATGGCTATTATCATTCACAGATGCCTTCAAGGTGGATTTAGATTTTTTTTTTCTTCGAATAATACCTGTCCAAAATATACAGTTAGTTTATCATCGACGTTTGATTTTATTTCTCCCCTTGTTCGACAAATTTAAATCACTCTTAATTTTTTTTAAAGTTTTGCTTGCTTATTTGTCTCATTAGTGACTAATGGCTTTTCACTTCTTTAGAAGTAAATCAAGTGTTGGTCCCGAATATATTTATTTTTCGGATTTTGTTTGTCGCAAAAAAAAGAGAAGTTTTTTTTTGTAATTTTGAAAAAATTTTGCTGCGCACACATACGCCATCTAGTGTGGCTGATTGACGATTGTTATGTTTTCAAAAATTTCCGCTTAAAAATAATCATTCCCTTAAGTTTGGCTTTGAAGCAAAGAGTGTAACAGTGAATGCGCACAACTCATTTTAATCTTGATTTTATTTTCAAATATTTTCCCGCCAATTTAAAAATGAAAGGCTAGCATCATTTTATTCCAAAAAAATACTTGAACCAGCGAAAAAAATTATGCAAATTTGCTTTCTGGTTTTTCTTCTAATCGGATCATCATCATCATTATTGTTGTTTTTGTAGGTTTTTTTCCACTTTTTTTCGTTAATCAAATTATCTTGAAGCACGAGAGAAATGAAAATATGAAATTTTATTTGAAAAAGAAAACTAGTTCAACTAATCATCGTTTAAAGAAAATCTAATCCCGAAAAAAAATTAACCGATTTTCGACTGTATTTTCCCGTAGTTTTTTTCTACCTTCTCTTTTAATCGATAATCTTCTGTATTATATTCTCCATAATGGTTTGTATTGATTTAAATGGTTTATTTCTTTGAATTTTCAAAAAAATTTCCTTCGATTTTTAATCGTTTTTAAAAAGAAATACAAAGAAATTAGACAAATGAAAACAAAAAAAAAAACAAATCCAGTTTTGAAAAGAAAAAGCATTTTTTTCTTCATTCAACATTGTTCCATCATTTGATTCGATCAAAACCAAAAGTTTTTATATATAAAAATAGAGCGCAAACGAATGAAACAAACAAAAAATGAAAGTGAAAATTTTTGAAATTAAAACAAAACATCAACCGAAGAATGGCGTGAAACATCTTTTTTTTGTAAGCATTCTTCTTTCATTCGTTTTTTATTGGTTTTTTTCTTTGCTTTGAAAGAAAAAAAAACAATCTTTTTTGTTTCGTTTCTGAAACAAAGAATGCTTAATGATGGTAATTTAGTAGTTGATTTTTTGTTTTTCGTCCAGTTGTGTGAAGCCAAAAAACCAAAAACAAGTAGTAAGTTTTCCTTTTGGCAAAAGCTAAATCTTTTTTCTTGAAATAAACAACAACAACAAAATAAGAAGAATGAAGAAGTCAATGTCCGAATGATGATGACATACACACAACACACACACACACGCACGCGACGTGAAATAATAAGGATGGTAAATAATATCCCCCGAAACAACAACGACGACATTTTGATGATGATTATTATAATCAAAAAAAAAAATGGGAAATGTAATGTACTCTGTGTATGGTCATCATCATGTTTGCATGTCCGGTAATGATTTCAAATTTTTTTTTGTTGTTTGAAATTAAAATGATTACATGGAAAATGATTATAAATAATGATGATGATTATTATCTTTCTATCCATCTTGTTATGATGTTTTTTTTGAAGAAAGAAGAAAGAAGAAAAAAACAAAAACAAAATAATAATTGGTAAAAAATGTTTGGTGTCAGAATGATGATGATTTTGGAATGGATGTTTGTTGTGTTTTCGACGACGATGATGATGCGGATCAAAAAATCATACTTTTTTTCAATTTTTTATTTCATTTTTTTTTCATTTTTTTCTGCTGTTGAAAAGTAAGGTTACATTTTTTTTGTAGTTTTTCGTTTTTTTGAAATGTTTATTTATAAAATATGTAGAGAGGAAAAAAAATCTATAAATAGATAAAATATAGTTATGCAAAAAAATGATTAGTTTGTATCGATACTATCGATACTTTTTTTTTGGAATTTTTTTTCTTTTTCTTCATTTTCAATTGATTTAATATCGATCCCAATATCGTCGTTGAATATAACGTTGTGGCCGTAATTCACTGATGTATGATTGTTGACCACGATAATTTTTCGAATAATGTTGATGATTATTATGATGATAGTCAGTTGGATATGGTGATGATCGTTGATGACGTAATCTTTGTTGCGGTTGTGGTTGCGGTGATTGCGGTGGCATTTCATCCGATGGTATAGCCATAAATCTAACACGTTGTTCACTATAACTTCCGCTCATATTATCTGGATAACCTCCGCCACCACCTCTTGTTTTTCCCATACCGCCTCCACCACCATTACCACCTCCGCCACCACCACCACCTTGTCTTGGTTCACCTTTAGCAACAATAGTATGAACATTTTCAATAACCGGACGTACTTCTTGTACAACACGACGATATGGTTGTATAATTTCATGAACTTCTTGTATAACCGGCCGTATTACTTCATGTTTAATACGATGTGCTTCTTCTTGTGAACGGACAAATTCAACTTCTGGTGCCGGTAATGTTTGATGTTGTTGTTTAATTTTAACCGGCATTGATTGTGTACGAAATACAATTGAATATGGTTGTTTAGCATACATTGATTCGAATTCTAATTTTCCATTTTTATCCGGGAAAGCAAACATTGAACCTTGTGGAATTTGTGTTATTTTTGATACACCTTCAGAATTTTGTTGATACATTCCATAACCAGCTTGTGATGATGCAGCAGTTTGTTGTTGTTGTTGTTGTTGTTCATCATAATTTGATGCTGATGCTTGTTGTTCATCATTACCATTAACACTGTTACCGCCATCGTTATAATTTTTTGGTATTAATTGTGCTTGATTTGCTAAACGATTATAAATTTCATTTAAACGATTTTGTTCATTCATAGTTAATGTTGAATGTTGTTGTTGTTGATGCAGATTATTCATCATTAATTGTTGTTGTTGTTGTTGATGTTGTAAATTATTTATTTGTTGTTGTTGTTGTTGTTGTAAATTATCTTGATCAATTTGTTGTGTTGATTGATCATTACTTAATGCTTGCATTGTTTCTTGTTGTTGATTATTATTATGATCATCAATTGTTTCATATTTTTGTTCAATTTGTTCAATTGAATCAGTGGTTAAAAAATATGCATGACTATTTGATATTGATAATAATATTAATAATATTGATATGTAGCTTGTTTTTGCTACAATTTTATTCTTTGATGATGAATGATGGTGGTGATGAACAAGAATTTTTTCGTAAAAAAATAGAGGAAAAAGAATTAGTTTTTTGATGAATATTGTACGAATTTCCTACACTTGAAATATACTTACATTGTTTATGAATTTCATTTTGGAAAAAAATATTGTTTTTTGAGGAAAAAAAGATGATTGGATTGATTACAATTTCACAATTTTTTTGTTTCGAAAAATTATTGATCACTGTTTTCGATGAAAAAAAATAAATCGACGTGAAATCACACCGATTTGCGATGGATAATATGCGAGGAGGAAAAAAATGAAATGAAAGAAGAAAAAAAATTGATTATTATTAATAAGAATTAAAATAAAACACTGAAAAACATCACTGAAAATCACAAGATATTTTTTTGGGAATTTGAAAAACACTGAATTGAACCGAGAAAAACGAAAGAAAATTTCCAGAAAACCAGAAAAAAACTTACACAAACATCACTAATTCATCACAATGAAATCGTGGACACAAACACAAAGAAAAACTGAAAAAAATAACGTTGATGTTGTTGCTTTGGACAAAAAAGTCGGGATAAAAAGATTATGAATAAATTTTTACTTCTATTTATATGTTCGTTTTCTTCATCTTCTTCTTCTCGTTTTCGTTGTTTATTTATTTATTTTGTTTATTTTTATAAAAATAAAAATAAAGAAGAAAGTAAGAAATGATCCATTCGATGATGATAATGGTGGTGATACATCATTATGGATGGATGGATGGATGATCCTTGAGATTCATTGATGTAGAAATAGTGGTGGCGAAAGAAAAAAAGAGAAACTTGAATGAATTTTTAAAGAAACGAAACAAAAAAAGAGAGAATTTTTCTTTCGGAAGAAGAAGAAGAAGAGAAACCTGCGGTCAGTCGAAGTCGAAATAGCAAAAAAAAAATTGATGCGGCAGTCCGAAAAATGAGAACAAACATTTGGTTGAATCAAAAACTTTTCCACCACTAAAAAAACCACCTAGATAGTGAGAGTAATACCCAAAAAAATCATCATCATCATCGGGTGTAAATAGCTGACCCAGTGAATAGAAGAAGAAGAAGAAGAAATTATCTTTTGATCGAAATAAGGGGGAAAAAGGAAAAGTGGGGGGAATATGAAGAAGAAAAAACTTGAAATATGAATTTTGTGTATGAATGATCGAATGAAGAGAGAGAAAAGAAGAATGTTTCTTGTTTGAAATGAAAAACGAAAAAAATCTTTGGATGATGATTATGGTGAATGAAAGAATGGATGGTGGAAGAAAAAAAAACTCGGTCAACCAAACCGTTTTTTGCTTTGTTTTCGTCATGAAAAACCAAAGCCTCGAAACCTCGAAACTTGATTTTGGTTTTGGTTTTTTTGATGAATGGAAAAGCGTGAGAGTCACATCAATTCATTGATGGTGATGGACAGCACCAAAGAAAAAAGAAAATTCTGATCAAAAAAACACCAAAGACAACGGCGAATTTCAATCAAAAAGATGAAAAGGGAAAGATGTTTTTGTTCTTTTGTGGGGGGAAATCAGCTAAATTTGGTCAAAAAGAAGGGGGTTGTGTTTTGGTCATTTTTTGAGAAAATTTCTAAATTAAATTTTAAAAAATTTTCCTCGGAAGGAAATCAAATCAAATCAAAACAACAACAAAAGTTGAATGACTCGATTCAATGAATCCAATGAAGTTTGATTGAAATTCAAACACCTTCAAACAACTCCTACAGGCAAAAGTTTCATCATCCAACGAAAATAAAACATGTTTCGGGTTTTTCACATTTTTTTTCTTGGCTTTCTGGTTTTTCTAAAAACAACAACAGCAAAACGGCAGCAGCAAAACACATCCTTTCCAAACTAATTATCATAATTTAAAATCAAAAAATCAAAACAAAAACAGAAATTTTTGATAAATATGATTAGCATCCATTCACGATGATGATGATGATGGTAGTAGTTTGAAAAGTTTGATGATCTCAAAGCACTCAATACACACCTTTGATTTTTGATTTTTGATTTTTTTTGGAAAGAAATTAGATTAATTATTGTTTGCGGGCAATTGATGAATCGATAATCAAAAAAATGATAAAACTAGGCTGCAAAAAGTTGTTTTGTTCATTTCTCCCCTTTCATTACCTGGACAGCTAATGATGCAGCCTAGGGCCATTAGCTGAATTTTTTTTACATACCAAAAATGATGATCATCGATTGGTAATTCGATACAATCGATTCTTTCAATCGATAGTATCGAAAAAAGAAGAACATAAATCACATTTATGAATTTTTTTCCCATATCCAAAAAGAAAACGATTTTTTTAGCATGGATTTTTTCATTTAAATGAAAAAACACGATGAATGAAAATGATGATGATGCTAAATCGGGAAACTTTTTTCTTTCTTTCTCTTTCTATTTTTTTGGCTCTGATCTGATCTGATCTGTCTGCCTGTGTTTCATTCAGTTCACCCGAATAATGATGATGATAAAGACGAATGCGGTGAATGAAATTGAATAATGGAAAAAAATGCAAATCTTGAAACATCCCAAATAAACAAACAAACAACAGCAGAGAAAAACGATTACCGAAGAAAAGAAAAAAGAAAAGAATGTCAATGGTAACCAAGCAACAACGGTTTCTTTTCTTTTATTTTTTTAAGAGAAAAAAGTATTTTTTTTCGGGAGAAAAATAAAGTCTCGATCATCATCATAATGATCTTGAATCGATCGATCGATCGATCGATTGATTGATTTTGTTTGGAAGAAAAGAATTTTTTTTCTGCAATCAAGCGCGATTAACATTGAACATTTTTTTGTGAAAGAATTGCGCTACCAAATCCACCAATCCTTTCCTTCTCTTCAATTTTCAATTTTTAAAATTTCAAAATTTCAAAATTTCAAAAATTTTAAAATTTTTTCCAAATAAATTATGTAATCACAAAAACAACAAAATAGCTTCCTGTATTTTTTTTGTTTATTTTTTCTTTTGACATATATTTTTTTCAGAGAAACATTCATATCATTTCCTACCGTCAGATTAAAATATCCTCCATACCATAAAAATGATGATGATATTTTAGTTTTTTTATTTTGTCGCTCATTTTGTTGTTGTCATTTCATCTTCATCAGTGTTTCCTTGATTAGTTATTTTTTCATTTTCATTTCACTTTTATTTTCAAGAAAAAACATCCCATTAGATGATGATGATGATGATTAAAAAGAAATGAAAACTTACGGATTATATGAATGTCTCCAAAAAAATGATAATTAACATCATCATCATCATTACATAATGATTGAATTGATGAATTTTAAAAAGGATTTTATCATTTTTGTTTTTTTCTGTAAAAAAAACAAGGAACACAAACACAAAATTGTCATGTCATGTGTGTTTTTTCACAGGAAAGCACATGCATTTTTGAAACAAAAATTTTCAAAAAATTTTTTGGAAACTCGAATATCGTGTGTGCGTCTGATTTGTTTTTTTTCTTCGTTTGATTTAGTGGGAATTAATTATTTTAAAAAAGGTAGGGATTGTTGTTGTTTACAAAATTACTACTGCTGCCGATGATGATTATGATGAAAAACTTAATTTCGATAATTTTTTTGTTTAAGCATCGAAATCAAAATCCCAAAAAAATTATTTATTTTTAGAAAATTTTCTGGCCACACCGATAAAACTGATGATGGTTATTTTGTTACCATTTTTAAATTTGGATTTGCCCGATGGGAACAAAACTGCCTTCGGACAATCTTTTTGAAAAGTTTTTGTCGATTGATCGATATTTTCAAAAAAAAGATTCCAAGCAATTTTTTTTTTCGTTTGGCCAGGGTTCGTTTTGTTTTCGAAAAAAAATTGATCATCATCATCAACATCAACATCGGATTAATTTGTCGGAAAGAAAAATTGAAACAGGGAAAATTTCCCGTAAAGATTTCATACAATCGATACATGATGATGATGATGATATTATCACGACGAATCATTCTTCGACGAAAAAAAAGACTAACCATCGACCAATAACCGATCTTGGTGATAAGATTAGATAAAGTGAAAGGAAATTTTGGCTGCTGTTTTTTTCCGTCAAAATTTTGAAAAAAAATTTCTTCAAAAAACAAAAAAAAACAAAATTTTCAAAATCAGCTGCCGTCTGATGATGATGATGATGTCTTTGTTTACAGGTCTTTGTCATGTTTTGTAACTTTAATTGACTGTCAAATTATGATGATTTTATCGATCCAGAAACAAATGATGATTGTTTTTTTTTTTTTGGTTTGTTCGTTTTCGTACAAAACACACGTTGTTTATCATCATGTCATCGTTGTTGTTGTTGTTTTTCTGGATCAACTTTTTTCGTAAAAAACAACAACATCATTAAACTAAAATGAAACTAAAATTTTTGAGGTTAATTGCTGATCATCATCATCATCATCATCATTATCGTTGATCACACTTTTTTGTTGTTGTTGAAACTTGATTTGTAAATCGAATGATTCGAATTTTAAACTATTTCCACCCAAACCGAGCTGAACGAGTTAATTTTGTTGTTTCGAATGTTTTTTTTGTTCCTTGTTTTGCCGATCATCATCATCATCATCGTTATCATTCAATTTGTTTTTTACGAGAAAAAAAGTCAAACTTGAAGCAGCAGCAAGAAAAAAATTTCCATCATCATCGATACTCAATCTAATTATTTGGATGCAGAAGTAGAAGAAGGAGAAGTAGAAATCATCATCCGCATCAATCTTTTTGATCTCAAAACGAAAAAAAAGTTGGTAATCACCATCATTATAATGATCTTTTCTTATAAAGATCTAATTATGATCTCATTATATTGATTAAAGAATCTTAATGTTTGTGTCATCAAAATATTTCGATTATGATGATGATGATGGCCGGATATGTTGCTGGGATGATTGTCGAAGATTGTTTTCACAAAAATCGAAAAACAACAAAAAATTTATTGATTTTATCGAAAAATTATCGATTTTTGCTTACTTCTTGAATCAAAATCCAATTAGATTGAATTTAATGAGATTTTTTTCTTGCAAATTGCAAATTGGAAATTGATTTTTGTTGTTTGTTTGTTTGTTTGTTGTCTATCAAACTAACACTTTAGTTCGTTCGTTTAATCTTGAGATTTTCAA